TTACTAAGTCAGACTTTAGCATTTCGGCAGTAGTTTCAATTCCATTTTGGTGTAGCCATGCTACGAGATCAGCTTTCTTGTCGGCCTGAGTAGGCGCTTTATTCACTTGTTTCGAGTGATATGAAGCGTTGTCCATTATTATGATAGAAGGCTCTGGCAGGCTGGGTAATAATTGCTTTTCGAACCAATTCGTAAAAGTGTCTGTATCCATCTCCTCGCGGTAATCGGAAGTACTTTTTGACGCGAAAGCCAGCAGTCCATTTTTAAAGAAACCACTTCCAGTAGAACCGGCGTGACAAATTATCAGTCGCGATCCTTTTCCAATTTGAACCTTTGAGGTTGATGCTTTTGTTTCGTCAGTCCAAGAGCGTGACACAGTGTGGTTCGCATTTAACCATGTTTCGTCAACAAAACCAACGTTGTCCCAAGACTCGATTTTTCTGGCTTCTCTTAAAAACTCGCTCCTTTTAATTATTAAATCAAATCTTTCCATTAATATTTTCGTTTTATTCGTTTTTTTATATTCAAACCCAATTTCGTGCAATAGTTTTGACAACGCCGTTTTACCGCCTTTAAACAAGCCAGCTTCTTTTAAAGAGACCAAAAGCAAACGTCTAGTTGGAAACTCGTTCCTAGTATAATAACCATATATGTGGTTTCTTATTGCATCTGCATCAAAAACATCAATACCTGTCACGGGCTTTTGTCTTCGTTTTTTCTTAGGAGTGCGTAAAACATTATCTTCACTTCCAGAAGCACCAAATTTTTCTTTATTTATATTATATAGTGTTTTTGCACCAATTCCAAGAGCTTGTGAAACCCGATCTTTCACTTGAGTGACAGGAATCAAAGGGCCGCCATTTTGTGACTCACGCTCAAAGTAATCCTGTAGCTTTAGTACAAGTTCACGACATTGACTATTCAATGTTTTTCCTCGTTTCGGCATTTTCAACAAAATTACCAAACACAAACAAAATTAGTCCAATAAAGCGCAACAATAAACAGGAGAAAGCCGAGTCAAAAAACAACGGTTACACAAGAGAACGTAGTCTGTGCGCACGAGAGTACGGAAGACGACTAAACAGATTAAAATAGCGGTGGTAAGGGTGTTGCCAGAATAGTATCGCCAATTACTTAAAAAAATACACCTATAACATTGCTTAATTGAGGGAGAAAATTATATTTATTAAATGTTGTTTTATATATTATGAATGTTAAAAATTATACATAATCATTTTAATTGTATTGATTTTTAAATCATAGAAAACAGTATTTCTGTCTTTGGATCACACATAAATCTTAAAAATCATAGAGATACTGGCAACACAGTGCAATTAGGAGACGTAGAAAAATGGTAGCATTATAGTCTAGTTGCTCGAAGGAATAAGTAAAATAAAAATATCCAAATAAAATAAATATCATATCTATTCCAATGAATTCGGACCGAATACTATCAAGCACATCACTATGAAAACTAGACGCACGATGTAACTTTGTACAAGCGCACCAAAGAACAAAAAATAAATGAAAACATTTATTTTTTACATATATTATTTACAAACTATTTTAAGTTTTGAAACAGAGTTTATTGGAAAATTACTTGATTCTGACATTTTGACATAAAGTTTTATATTAAAGAGGTATTCTAAATCATTCGGCAAATGTGTCGCTCGTGCAAGGTTATATCGATTAATTTAAGAATAATCTGTCAAATCGGTAATAACTCAGCGGCCGTACTATAGCAACGCAGTGACGATGATAGATATACGATAAATATTAATATCAAGGAATTAAGTGCTATTTAGGTGCTGCAAGTATAGGCAGTGACAAGGCGCCCCTAATAAAAATAGAGTCGTTATTAAGAACAAAGCAGATGCAAACTCGGGTTTTCTGAAAATCAGAATAGAATCAAAATTGCTTTTAGAAAAAGTCCAAATTAGGGGCATTTTAGGTGCTATTTGATAATGTATATTATAAAGTATATTATTACATCGATAAAGTCACTTACATCACTATACATGTAGGAAATATCTGTTAAAAATACACGTTGAGGTCGCCAGTGACGCTTTAAGGGGTCAACTAGTTGCACTAAAATTCTTGATCCCTATCTTACATTCTAAAAGCATTTTGGTGTTAAATCTTTATTGATCGGTGAAATAACATTCATATTAATGTATTATTGGTTATTTTGATCAGAATCTTTTCTGTACTTCTTCGTAATATTGCCAAACTTACAAGTTTACATAGCGTGGTACATCACTACCGAAACGAATAGTAATTTTAGGGGAAAAATGCGCGTGGCGTCTGGGGAAAAAATATTGATATTAGGTCTGGCGGTCAAAAGGTTAAAAACTATGATAATTAATAAAATTTGAATTTGTCGAGGGTAGATGCCTTCTTCTTCATTTACGTGCCAGATTTTCTTCATTATTTTGAAATAATTTTAATACAGACTTGTAGATAGGGTTGATTTAAGCTCATTTTTGTAAAAAAAAGCATTTTCATAAAAATGTAGATGTCCGTTTCTACTTTGCTGCCATCGATATAGTCCTACTCCCCGCGGTTTCGTGCCAAGAACGCTGGCTGCGTTTCCCCGCTGAATGGCTATACTTAGCCTTTGAGCGAGAAACGAACCAGCCCTCTTATCACCAGCAGCAACGACCAGTGACCAGCCGCGGATAGAGTTCCTTTAGGAACTTCACCGCACGTGGACCCCACGGACCGGATAGTCTCTACAGCAAATGGCACAAATATGTAGTCATCTCTCAGTTGAAAATAATATAGCTCAGACATTATTATATTTTATCCTGGTGATCCTGATCAAAATACTAGTAGTATTGTATTGTCATCGGTTTTTGATACTAGTGCAAATTTCCAAGTCAATCCGCCGTCCACTAGTTGGTGAAAATTTAATTAAAATATTAGGTTACATAGTTACTATCCATATATATATATATATATATATATATATATATATATATATATATATATATATATATATATATTGACAGAACGTATGACTATATTATATATATATATTAAATAATGCAAAAGTGCGTACGCAGCAATTTAAATAAAATTTGTTTTCCATTTAAATAGTTTTATTATTAACCCATTGAGTGTTTTAAGGACATACAGGTATCCTAATTGCTATTGATCTCAAATAAGAATGTTGATTTAATTTGGTTTTTTCATTCTTCATCAACGGTTCCTATAGATAACATAAGGAGTGCAGTGCCTAAAATACTATAAGCATGGCTGTTTTCAATCGACAAATTAGACATAGACTTAAGATGTTGTTGAAATCTTTCCAGTATCATGCTTGCATGTGCATGTACAACTGGTATATATTAGGGGCAAGCAAGAGGGCGCCATAATTGAGTCTCGCTCCATCCTAAAACTTTCCTCAGGCCGGCACTGCACACGCGTGAGTACAAGTCACAATGGATACCAATAAAGAATGTGAAATTTTGACATTGGTGATAGAAGTGTATAAAGAGCGGCTTCTTAAGAGTATCTCCCTTTTTTGTTTGCAGAAATAACGTTATTAAAACGTTGTATCGTTTTTAAATGTGGTAGAGTCATGCTGTACCTTTTAAGGACTAGATTATAGTTGTAATGATTAATTAATTAGTTGTTTTATCGATAAATATGGGTGTCTATGTGCCTTTCCCTTTTTATATAGCTCGCGGTCTGTAAGTATGAATCAGCAGCAGATGATGAAGGTATAAAAGCCACATACCACACGGTGTTAGCCTCTCTCCGGGCTGAACACCTTGCCCAGCGGGAGGTCTCTCTTTTTTCTTCCAAGACCAAAATTATAATATAGTTTAACTTGCAAAATAAGTACGCTTTTTCTTCTGACTTGCTTAACCGAACTCAATATTTAAGGCTAGCTGTGAAGTGTAGCCTAATGCTAGATAGCCTATACTATTCCCCATGAATCTGCCTATAATATACAATAGAATTTTTCAAATCTGACTGGTAGGTTCGACAGACTTAAACAAACAAAAAACTCTTCCACTTTATTATATTAGTATTCTAATACGTAGCCGCCAGAAGGGCGCCGATGATGTGCAAGCCTAGGGCGCTGTCGACATTTAATTCGCCTCAGAATATACATTTTAAACATTTTTCCCACATCGCACAGAATTTTTGAGATAATATCAAAAACTAAGTTTAGTTTTTCGGTAATTGTACTACTTTCATACTTACATTGCATGGACGACTATAATAGAGTTATGAAACATTGCAATCTTCAAGATAAATACATAATATATGAATTCAGAATGTACCTACTCCCTAAAAAACAACCCTGTATATATACAGGGTTATTTCGCAGTAACGGGCCAATTTTGCGCAGAAGGTTGAGAATAACTAATAAGTATAGCAAAATGGTGAAGAAAAATCAATTAAAAAATGTCAAACTTTCTGTCCTTTTTATCTTTTAAATTCAAAATGCGTGGTAATGCATTATTTTAACTGATTTTACTGTGCACGCAAACACATTCGTAATTCTGCAACTCGAGAACCTTTATACTGTCAGTTCTTCAAGCTAGAAGTATGGCTGGGCCATTGTCACATCAGCTTACTGATCCATTAGGCTATATCCCTTACTTGATTATACTGCTGACTCTCATTATCTTTAATAATATATAAATATGTATAGTAAAATAGTATATATCGATTATACAGAGAAGCGACCTTGAGCTTCCTCATACGGCCAATAGTTCAGTTTCTCATACGGACCACGTCTTACAACCAATGCCTCCATTTTTTCTTCAAGTTTTCATGTTTTGAAGTATACCCTACATTTTCTGAACCGTGCTCAGTCCAATTGGATCCGTCGATTGATCACCTATCAATAACAATGCATCTAAAATACAGTCCAACTGTGCTTTGTCTAGGCTGCAGGTGACCAGGAACCACATTAGCCACTTACCACCAGATGAAATATAAGTTTGCTTGTTACTTAATTTTTATAAAAAAAAAAAACATTTACTTATCAGTTTTACTAAAAAGCAGACAAATTGTCAATTAAATATAAAATAATATTATAGGGGTATAATAACACAAAAATATATTGATACAAAAACTCTAGTTTATGCTTAAAACAAAAATTTAATAAGATTGATTAAATACACTCTTAAGAATTGTTCCAGACTAAAAAGTATACCAGGACGTTTTGGAAATCTGAAAAAGAAAATGAAAAACGTATATTAAAATCAAAATTATGAAACACAAAAGATATCAAACTCTAAAGCCCTAAGTACTATGTAATAATGCCTGTGCGAAAAGGGAACCGACGCGCAATGTTTATGGGAACATATTTTATGTAGGTAGTTTCTGTGGTGTGCTTTTTGTAAAGTGGTCACTAAATCGACTGATTTAGATGCTATGAAATAAAATATTACTTACGTATCTATTAATGGTTTTTTAGCTGTTTTGTTTGGTACAGGTTTAAAAAAGTACTTTAGAATTTTAATATTTGTTTAGTATTTCGCCACGGCAGCGGTTCTCTTTTCGAACAGACTCCGCAATTGCAATGTCATAAGCAAAAATAACGACTGCCTACAGTAACTTTTATTTAGAAGCCTTCCCTGTTAATATTTAAGAATTTACAGATTTAGCATGGTATTGCAGTTGGTCAAAAGCTTTATATTATACTTAGTTTTTCAGGTAACGTAATAATGATGTTATCTATTTTAAGTTTCAGAAACATATCAACCGCGAGGTGTCTTGTATTGGAGAATTCGTCATCATCTCCCATCCCGTGGATGTATAAAAGTCGATTTAGGAAAACGAAAGGATACTCGTGTTACCATATCGATAAAAATATAGTCGAATTTTGTCCTGTACACGCCTTCTCATTGCATTGCACCATCGACGGTAACTAAGCGTCTAAGGTGCTAAAAAGGCTTAAATCATCCAATTGACTATTTACGAATTGGTAATTACGAATTATCGAAATAAAAGTATTGTATGTTTAAAAGAAGAACCGATAGTGGATGAATAAAAAAACATATTTGAGAATAAACTCAAAGGTGGGCATTATTTTTCTTTTTTAATCTCCAAGCCACCACTTAAAATAAAGAAAACTGTATTGCAAAAAGTAAGATAACAAATTAATTATAAGTATACTAAGCAAAATACTTGTCATTTGAAACTATATATTATAGTGTATCTTAATATCATTCTACCTACAGTGCTTTGTTACTAGAAAAAGCCTGCTAAGACTTTTCGGAAATAATCAGTCTTGTTAGATATTTAATATTTATAGTCGTACAGTAAAATTGATAAACTCCTTTCTTTTTGATGTCTGTTAAAATTTTCTAATAAACGTAAAATAACTAAACGTTTACATAATCTAATCATATTAATTTTAACAATGCTTTGCTAAAGTAAATAATTCTACAATGTAGCGCGTAATTTGAATAACATTAGCAAATTTGAAATACTCAATAAAACGTAATGGCGTAAAGCAGAAATAATTAACGACGAATAATAACTAAATAATTAGCAGTCATGCTTGGACCTCAGTAGAACGAAAAGGTTTATCACCTGATAATAGTTGTCTTCACTCACCACGGACGACTGACGTCTCACTGCGGGACACCTTCGTAGGTAGGACCAAATCGTGGAATTCACCAGAGTGAAGCAATTTTGAATTATCAGTATCACCATTCTTTTCCTCCGTTGGTACAAAAGGAGTAATCACATCTGATTCATCAGAAGATATTTCAGTTTTAGCTTGATGCTTAACATCAGACATAAGTGTTATGTTTTGATCCTGATGGTGCTCTTCCACCGTCGATTCTTTCAACAAGATATCGCCACTATTATCCCCAACTATCATGTCAGAATCTATAGTTATTTCATCAGTAATCTTTTGCTCTGTTTGCATACTACTGTCATTAACAAACAGTTCCTTTGCAGAATCGAGCTCTTCACTAAGTCTACTACAACTGTTACTAGGAGGAGAAATAGATTGAATTGCATCCTCTCTTTTTAACTGTTTACGTCGTTCGTTTTTGTCATAACCTAAAGGATGCAAATTTGTGGACGTTGGTGGGCTTCCATCTAAAGATAATTCCACTGATGTCAACAGGCTTTCGTCTCTGCTCATGAACTGACTTCCATCAGGAACAATGTGAATGTTTAAAACTGTTTTATTTCTAGTAGGATCTGGATCAGTTTCTAACGACATGGATGGGTCATCAGAATCAACTAAAGTAGTATTTGAAATTGTTTTGTTGCGATTCAACCGATTTCTTACTAGAAAGCCTCTGATGTGAGCCTGAATAACGGTAGCAGCACTAGATAGTGTAGACGAATCGTCGGTAGACACAGAGAGCGATTTTTCTTCATTTACCGTTTGTAACACAGTGTCCATGCGACTTATGCCAAGTGTTCGTCTATCCTTGTTAATGTTCTGATTCTTGACGGTAAGTTCTTCATCCTGAAATTGTTCTTTTAATTATCACCTTATTCATCATCATCATTACAGCCCTTCACAAGTCCACTGCTGAACATAGGCCTCCCCAAAAGAATGCCATAAAGCACGGTCCTGAGCCACCTGCATCCATCGACTTCCTGCATGTTTTACCAGGTCGTCACTCCATCTCGTGGGGGGTCGCCCTACACTTCGCCTACCGGTACGAGGCTGCCTTTCTTCCCCATCGGTTGTCGGTTCTTCGAGCTATATGGCCGGCCCACTGCCACTTCAGCTTACTAATCCGTTGGGCTATGTCGGTTACTCTGGTTCTACTGCGGATATCCTCATTCCTAAGTTTATCACGCAGAGAAACTCCGAGCATAGCCCTCTCCATAGCTCGCTGAGCGACCTTGAGCTTCATCATACATATCGTAAGTCATCACTGGCAACACGCACTGGTTGTACAATTTCGTTTTAAGGTTTTGAGGTATGTCTGACGAGAAGACGTGTCGTAGCTTCCCGAACGCTGCCCAGCCGAGTTGAATCCGTCGATTGACCTCTCGGTCGAAGTTGGACTTACCTAGTCGGACTATTTGTCCCAGGTAAACATACTCGTCAACAACTTCGAGCTTAGTGCTCCCAACAACTACCGGCATAGGTGTGACATGGACATTAAACATGATCTTTGTTTTGACCATGTTCATCTTAAGACCTATCCGTTGGGAAACACTATTGAGGTCATTGAGCATAGTGCTTAGGTCCTCCAGCGATTCTGCCATAAGGACTATATCGTCGGCAAATCGAAGGTGAGTGATGTACTCGCCATTGATGTTGATACCGTATCCTTTCCAGTCCAGAAGCTTGAAAACGTCTTCCAATGCAGCGGTTAAGAGTTTCGGGGATATGACGTCACCCTGTCTTACAGCTCTCTACAATTGGATAGGTTTCGTACTCTGGTTCTGTACTCGGATAGCCATCGTAGCCCTACTGTACAAGCACTTCAACACTTCGATATACCGACAGTCAACTTGGCACCGCTGAAGGGACTGCAGCACCGCCCAAATTTCGACGGAATCAAAGGCTTTCTCATAGTCCACATACGCCAGACATAGTGGCAAATTGTACTCTTCGGACTTCTGTACAATTTGCCGAAGGGTATGTGGTCTATGGTGCTAAAGCACTTTCGGAAACCGGCTTGTTCGGGAGGCTGGAAGTCGTCAAGTCTGCGCGCGAGACGATTCGTAATGACTCTCGAAAACAGCACGTAGACGCGGCTCAGAAGGGAAATCGGTCTGTAGTTCTTCAAGAGAACGTTGTCACCTTTCTTGAAGAACAAGACCACCGCACTTCTGCTCCACGCCTCCAGTGTAATGCCACCATGGAGGACGGAATTAAAGAGCTTCTGAAGGACTTCAAGTACCGGTCTTCCACCCGCTTTCAGAAGCTCCGCTGTAATTCCATCCTCGCCTGGGGCCTTACCGTTTTTAAGGTGCTGGAGAGCCATTCTAATCTCGCTCAGACTGACGTCCGGGATATCTTCGGAATAGTGTCGTATCACCTTATTACCAAGTGGTAATTGTCGACTTAGAACTTAGTGCAGGTGTTACTTTTCCGTTACCGTTAAAGCGGACAGTCCACAGCAGGACATAAGCCTCCCCCACAGATTGCCTCATAGGGGTGACATATGCTATTATCCACGCTTGGCAAGCGGGTCGACAATATCAGTCTTTCATTATTAGGAATGCGCTGCTGCCCATTTCCTGGTTTGTTTGCATCTGTCGCCTCTTACGCCTCCACAGAGGCACACAGTTTTTGTATGTAAAACCGTTAAGCATGAAGATACTTATCTATAAAAAATAGATAATAATAGATACAAGTACCTACAAATCTCTAATAATATATACAAAATAAAGTCATGTAAAATATGTCTATTTACATCATATTCTTACACCGCTACTACACGGTATATCAATATTTAAATCAATGTATGCAATACTTCTTGGAAAATTTGCGCTGCTTACAATTGATGAGTGACGATACAATGTTTGTGAGAAATAGTCAAATCACTACCGCCACTGATCAAGCGGACAGCGGCGGCCACCAGCAGCGATCAGCGCGCCCACCAACGATAGTCGACTTGCCGGCGAGTATTTTCTTGTGGTTAAAATAAAATAATTTCTAGTAATAAGCCGTGGAAGAAGCTTAAAGGCTAGCGCTCAATGTAACAGTACACAGGAAAATTGTTACTTGCATTTTTATTGCTGATTTACCATATTATAATCAATGGTTTAACTTCTTGAGAATCTTGTCTGAGAAATCAATATATATATTTCTCTGACATGTTTATTCTGCTAACAACACGGCAGCGAGGCGGAATCTTACTGTCCTTAAATGTAAATCCGTCTTAGAAATGAGAGGATGCCCACGAGGGTTTATATTGACTGTAAAAATTACATATAAAATGATATCACTCGAAAAGCTATGACGTAATTTACACTATACTCTCAAACAATTCCTACGGAAATGTTGGTTTTGGCAGCTCATAAAAAGTATTTTAATTGAAATGAACGCCAAATACCCAATTATTTTCATTTTTCTCTAGCTACTTTGATATGTATGTGTATTTCTATTATTTAGCTTAAATATCCTTTTATGCAATTTATTTTATGTTGTTGATCTTTAGGGATTCTTAGGGATTGGAGTTGCTTTTACTTTAAATTGGCATTTAAAGTAAAAGCAAGCTCGCCCCGCCTTACTAATATAAAGTAGGCCGTTAATAAAACAAAAAGAAATACCTTTGAATTGTTTTCATGCTCAAAACCATTAAAGTCAATATTTGTAGATTCGTCAAAACTAGAAGTTTTGCTTCTAAAAAGAAAGTTGCGAAAGACTTTTTGTATCGTTATAGCAGCTGTTTCAAGATCCATTGCCTTAGTGCTTTTAGATTCACTTGCTTCAACAACACAAGTGTTATTTGGTAAAATTTCCTTGTTACTGTTATCGTTAATATCACAATCACTATTCTGAATAATGCTAGAGTTGTTTTGTTCACATAAAAGTGGATTGTCGGTACTCACATCTTCTTTTATTGCTTTTATTTCAGAATTTTCAGTTGAATTATTGTTTCCTTCTTCTCTCAGATATGTCTTACTAAGACTTTGAGTCGAATCTTCATTAGGATTTATTTCAATAAAATTATTGCTTGTGGCGTTGTCTTTATTTTGATCATTATTCTGCGATGATAATTTATTTTCAACCTTTGTTTCATTGGCATCGCTTGCGACAATAGAGGTATTAAGCAGGCCCTCACTATTTATTTTTAAAGCTTCGCTTTCTAATTTATTTTCATTTTCATTTCCGTTCGCATTTTCTACAGCCGTATGATTCTCATTCATGTTTATTTTACTCGCTGGTGAAAATTGATCATCATTAATAACAGGCTTTATTTCCATTTCTGCATAATTTGTAGGCGTATTGACTGATTTTATATCAGTATTTTCTTCGCCGATACAAATAACATCGTGAGATCCAGTACCAATTGCGTCTTTATACTCTTTTCCAAAAGTTTCTTTTTGTAAACATTTAGTATCCATAATTTCAACTTCCCCTGTGTCAGATGATAATTTACCTTCACTAAATTGATAACTGTATTCGTCTTTATTTACTTCGTCACATACTGTGCTTTCTTTATTATCTGTTATAATGTCAGTATCTTTATTTGTACAATCAGTTTCAAAAATGTTATTTTCCACTATAGCATTCTGGTCATAATTAATTTGTTCTGTATGGTTGTCTCTGTCACCTTCATGTACTTTCATATTTTCTTGACAAACTTCTGTGTTTGAAACTCCCGATTTTTCAACGATTTTCTCTACAAAATTTAATATTCCTTTAGTTTCGATATCAGATATGCTTTCATCGGCATGTATATTATTAACAGCTTTTAAATTATCTTCAACATTCTGGTTAATGTTAGTGTCAGCAGGAATTACCACATTTTCATTGTTGGTAAAAACTGGTTTATCATTCGAATAATTCGTGACAAGTGTTTCAATTTTTTCCGGTTCTACATAGTCACGTTCTATGTTATAAATATTAGTTACCGATAAGCTTTCGGTATTTTCTATTTTATCAACATACTTTGTATCATATACCATATATTCCGCATGGTCACTACTATCTTCCCTATCACTTTTATTTATGCCGTGTTTTTCTATATCACGAGTACAGTTGTTAACATGAAAATTGGGATTTAGCTTTTGCTCAGTGTGATTGTTAGCGGTGTTTTCATAATCTTGTTCTATATTACTTAACTTCTCAACTGTATCTTCATCTTTAATATCTTTTGAATATGTTTCTATGCTTTTGTCTTGATTGCAGTTTCCACTTTCAGTGTTGTTTAAATCAAAATTATTCACATTATCATTCTTAATTACTTTTGAAACACCTTCCAATTTCAACAAGCTCTGTGCTGTTAAATCATGTTCCCATTCTGGGTCAAATTCTTTCTCTTCAGATGCACGCTGGGACGACAAGCTCAAGTCTTGTCTCAAATTTAACTGCATTTCTTTATCGTACTTTTGACGCCTTTGCTTAGCTCTTTGTCTTACAATGTTATTAGCCTTAATAATCTTTTTTTCCAGTGTTAAATACCTGTCAGGTGCTATAAGCATATTTTAAATTGTTAATATTAGAAAAAAAAAATGATTTACAACTTTAACTTGAAATAAAAATATTAATAGAATTAATAATGGATACAACTAACTCTAACGTGGTAGAGCCAACTCACAGAATACCAGTGTAATATAGCAGTTTAATGCTGCTGTGTTTCGCATGGTAAGTGTAGAGAACCGGAGACTTTTTACTGCAAGCGAGACATTCCATCTTTATCCAAAGAGGTGACAACGCATTTGCATTTTGATTGTTAATAGAGGATACATGTAGATGTCTGTGGGCCACAGCATCCACTTACCATCAAGTGGACTGTGTGCCCGTTTCTCACCATTATTCCATAATAAAAAAATTGTTACATCCGTTACCATTACAGCCTATTAAAAATCCACTGCTGAACATAGGCCTTCCCCATAGATTGCCTCTTAGGGGGTTACACTTGCCAGTTACCACGCTTGGCGGGAGGGTTGGCAACCGGATTTTTTTTTATTATGAAGACGCTGCTGTCCATCTTCTGGTCCGCTGCACTCTGTCGCATTTTTGACACCCACGGGACGATACGGGGTAGTATATATTTTTACACCGCCACTACACGCTTTAGTTTTATTGTTATCACCCACACTCACTCACTACAGGCTATAAAAGTACACTGCTGAACATAGGCCTTCCCCATAGATTGCCTCTTAGGGGGTTACACTTGCCAGTTACCACGCTTGGCGGGCGGGTTGGCAACCGGATTTTTTTTTATTATGAAGACGCTGCTGTCCATCTTCTGGTCCGCTGCACTCTGTCGCATTTTTGACACCCATGGGACGATACGGGGTAGTATATATTTTTACACCGCCACTACACGCTTTAGTTTTATTGTTATCACCCACACTCACTCACTACAGGCTATAAAAGTCCACTGCTGAACATAGGCCTCCCCCATAGAATGTCTCATAGAAGGGATTTTGCTATAGTTGCCATGCTTGGCAGGCGGGTTGGCAACCGCAGTTCTTTATTTTCAGTAGTTATCAGGAAGGTGCTGCTGTCCCATCTCCTGTTTCAATTTCCCTCTGTCGCCTCTTATGATACCCACGGGACGTTATGGGGTAGTGGAAGTGGATATTCTTACACCGCCCCTACACGGCATTTATGTTACATTTGGGATTAAATTGAAGATATTATAACACTAGACAAATTATGGTTTTCTGGTATAGATCAGTGGTGATCATTTCCGTGCCCCTGACAAAGGATCCTTTACCTTCGATCTTCTACTGAAAAATTGGCCTGCTATTCCAAATTACTGTTGTAATATATGCTTCTATATCCTTACGAAGGAGTTTGTATGCATTTTTGAATGCTTCCTCAGTAGTAGCCTGGCATTAGGATGATAGCAATGAATGTGCATTTATTTTGTACGCCAGGTTGAATAATTTGCCAAATAGATTTAAAAACACCTTATTTTTTGATCGGCGGGCCATGCCATCCACTAGCCCATAAATGAAGTGTGTTGTTAGCGGCGACAGAAGCAAACTGAAACAGGAGATGGGCAGCAGCATCTTCCTGATAAGTTAAACGCCTGCCAAGCGTGGCAATTATGGAGAAATATTCCCTATTTTTAGCAGTGGACTTTTATAGGCTGTAACGGATGGATAGGCCATGTTATAATAAAATACCTTGGTTATGGGTGGATGGTAAAGAGTGGATGTCTCTCTGTTGGTGCATACACTTGTGGCACTATGGGTGTCTCAAAATCATCAGTGCATTTATGTAACTCTTTTAAATAATTGTTTGTAGGTGGGAATCACTCCGTAGCTGTGTTATTTTTTACTATGGTAATATTTTGTAACCTAAAATAAGATATGAATATAAAAACATTAAAGAAAAAATCAACTACGATTCCCATCAGAGTTTCAAGAAAGAAGTCCCGTGGGAAAATATGGGAATTAAAATGAAAAGTATGGAATTTGACTGAAAATTTCCAATTTTCTCGAAGATTGTAGCGCCGCGGATAAGGGACAATATTCTTAAAAAAGACTGTAGACCTGGTACAATGAAAAATGTTAGTATATCTTTATTTCCAAGAAGGAATATCAAAAAAAACTTAATTAAGATTTTGTGGTTTCTCATATTTCATATTCATTTGTGATGAACTGATGAAGTATGAGTTTTTGACAATTTCCGCAATGAACGTAAACTAGACTATGAAAGTGAAAAATAACAACTTCTACATAAAGTAGATAACTTACGACGACCATCCCTTAACTCGAGCAACTTCTTCATATGTTCTGTACAAAATTCAAATATGTCAGTTGGATTACGTCTAAGAACCTCTTTAGTAAGGCCCTCCATTAGTTCCACTAGCCCTGCAGGCATTTTAGGCACAGGTGTTGGACTTATATACGCTCTTGAACCAGAAAGTTTCATTCTCTACAAAATTAAACATAAAAGAATATATATAACCTACAACTTTCATTTGTTTTCACTTTATTCATTTTCCACTTACCTATGCTTTTTGACGTGCACTGACGAAAGTCACAACTTGGTATAAAAGAATACTCAATAATGGGTGTGGTTAAAACTCGCGTCAGCGTAATGTTTGGAAATGGTAGCTATGGCAATGCGCCAAACTTGAACTTGACTTCGTTAGCGACAAATATCGATCCGACTCAAGTTCAATGTAACATAATATTAACGACACCTAAAGCGGTCGACTTAATTCGTATACACTACATTATAGCGAGTTAAAAGAAAAGACCGTTTCAATAGCAATAAGTCAATTTACGTTACTTGTAGACATGCGTTTGTTTTTTATTATTTTATACAGAGTCGTGTTACAAGTGTTATCAAAATTTCAGTTGTATTACTTACTTCTTTCAAAGTATAGACATTTCACAACATATTATCAATACAAATAACAGAAGGTTAACATCCTTTTTTAGTAAAATAAAATATATAATCGTAAAGATTAGTACTACCTAAGCGTGGAAGATATCGAAGGCGAAACTCGGGTCTGGGCCTCGAATAGAAATGAAAAGCAAGTAATGTGAAAATTTGTTGTGTATTTGCAACGCGCAGCGCAGTTATGGCTGGGGGCAGGCGAGTCGAAGTCGCCGCGGGGCGCCTACTCTGACACACAAACAATCCAATTCTTGTGAATCAACTTTTTTATTTTCATACTGTGTTCTATAATAGTAATTTATATATAAGATCATATATTTAATTTTTGCAATGTTAATACATTATACATAACAAACATCTTCATAGTGTACATACATACATCGCGGTAGCGCTATTGGCGGCGCGTATCGGCGACGCTCCGCCGGTGATGATAGAAAAATTAATGGCTACTGTAATATCATACAAATTAATGACTATTCCCTTACAAATTATTATAACTACCTTTAGCATTGTTCTACTCCAATATGATCAAATGAACGTTTTCACCGAGCCGTATGCGTGATAAATGAAGTCTCCAGTTCGCTCCGACCGATTCGACCGACTATCGCGTGCCACTCCCGCAGCTATGTATAAAAATCATCGTCCGCTATAAATTTATAATAAATAAATGCCTATTTACACTATGTAACTATACAAAATGATAGTACGACGAAATTACATTTTTTTGAATCGAGCATCTAATTTTAAATGAAGATTTCATATAGAACAATCTACTCACGGGACCCGACACGAGCCTCTACCATATACGGGCCCGCGCACTAACATATTACATCTCGCAATTTTCCTATATTTGTTTTTTTTTTTTGTACAATCATATTCAGCAGAAAGCTGGGTGCCCGATTATAACAAATATCGGTGATTCAAAATGCAATACAATCAATCATGCATCAATAATACATACAACTTTTGAACTTATTAAACAATTTAACAATGTTGGAAATCCTAAAGTAATGTATTAACCTATGTAAATAATATAATATTATATAAAATACTAGTACATTAGTCATGACAGTGCATTCGGGGCGCGGATACTTCGAGAGTGTTCAATTGCGAAGGTAGAGGCCGCTCGCGAGCGAACCGACGCGACGAACGACAGCGGAATAGGGTTGCCACCTTTTTGCTTGGTAAGCATTGAAATTTTGTAAAGAAAGTATTTTGGAGAAAGTAGAAACAGGAAAGCCTTATGTTTATTTGAATTTTGCTCATGAATGTTTAATCCTAAATTTTAATGAGCGTGAAAACATGTACACATTAGAATGTTAAATGTATTCTCGAAACCTACCATTCCGCATAAATATCTAGTATAAAGAAATGTATAAAATTAAAAATATAGCATCTTTTATATTATATTTCTCTCAACACTATAAAGTTAAGTATAAATATATCCATCCACAAGATTACGCACAGTATCTCAACACTCACAAACAGCTATTGGAGTCAGCAAATAGAAAAGAGATTTATTGCTTCAATAGACGACTCCCACTTAAAGTAAAATTTAAAATTTACTGAAGATTTACTATTTTTCCACTAACTCAAATATAAAAGATAAAATGCAAGTACAGGGTGGCAACCCAAAAATCGGTATATACCCGAACGAACCAATCATTAGAGTTGTAAAAAATTAATAACATCGTTAACAAAAATGTAATAGAATAGACAATATGAATGGATGCGTAACCATAAAGTAAAGTCGGGGGCATTATCCTAGCGGGTGGAGGGAAGTGGGGGACATCACTTGGCGACGGCACCGGCTTGTTGTCGCTTGTGACTGATTTCAAGCTCCCCTAGCTTTTTCCACAGCTCATCACGCTCTTTTTCGCGTTTCTTCTCTCTGTAACAATTAATCAAACATGTAATGTCTATTTCCTTGTTATTCAATTAATTTATTTATTTAAAACTTATATACACATGTGTATATAAGTTTACTACTACTATACAGTATACTCTATTAGTCTACTTTGGGGTGATGGAGATAAATTGAAGTAGGAGTGGGAAAAATTAGTTGATAATATTAATAATAATAATTTAATACATAATTTAAAGTTGTGTACAACAGACTTCAATATAAATTATTAAGAATAACTCAAAAACTATTGGTCAGACCTTGATCAAATTTATATGGGTCCACATGAGAAGCACCAGCTTTGAAATAAAAAAAAATCATCGAAATCGGTTCATCCATAAAAAGTTATGAGGTAACACATTAAAAATACAGTCATATTGAGTACCTCCTTCTTTTTCAAAGTCGGTAGAAAGGTAAAATAAATATTTTTTAAAAAAATACATGAACATGTACATCTATCTTAATACTCTTTATGTGGTATATCACAAAAAATATAAAATGAACTCAAAAGGTATTCATATAACTAAAATAATAAATACTTAACATAAGTACTTATTATATCAAATGTCTCATAAAATATACATATACCCATACAAATCTATATTACTGGTATAGTTGTAGCACGAATGGGTCGGCTCGACCGGGAAGGACCATGTGTTCTCACAGAATATCAGTGTTGTTGTAGAGAACCGGAGACCTTTTTTAATGGAAACAAGGCATTTAATCTTAGACTTCACGGCTGACAACGAGTCTGCATTTTTATTCGCAAACAAGGATAAATGTAGATATCTAAGGGCTACAGCAACCACTTACTATCAGCTGGACTGTGTGCTTGTTTGTCACCCTAATCCTATTAAAAAATCTAATAATAAGATTGGTATAACTATAAGTACATATATATGCATATTTTAATGTTGACTTTATATATATTTTAGACATCTCCTTTAAAAACTTAAATCCAAAATATTCAAGAAAGAGGATATCTGCAAAAGAACAAGAGTAATTGACATTGCCCAGCAGGTCAAGGCAAGCTGAAGTGGCAATGGGTTGACCATTTAGCTTGAAGAACTGAAAACTAACAGGGGAAAAAAGGTACTCAAGCGACTGCCTCGTTGTGACCACTGGCAGGCGCAGTGTTTGGCGACCATCCCACTAGATGTAGTGACGGCCCGATGAAACACGCAGACAATCGATGGACGCACGTGGCCGAGAACCAAACTTTGTGGCAATCTCAGGGGAAGCCTATGTTCAGAAGTGGACTTGTGATGGATTATAGCAGTAGTAGTGGTAGTATCAGTAAACATAGACATAATATGTAAAGTAACATACAATGCTATTGCAACATTTGACACATTTACATAAAATATTATGTAATTTAAAAAGGAATGGAGATTACGTATTTAATTATGCAGTATTTTTAACAGACTTCAAAAAGGAGGAGGTTCTCAATTTGAGTGTACACTTTTTTTGTATGTATATTACGAGATATCTTAGCAGCAGATTGTGAACCAATTTAAAAAAAAAATTATGAAATAGGTTATACTTCAAGAAGTTATTTGAAATCGGTTTTTACTTTTTGTTAAAAGTTTTAATAACTTCCTCATTGTTCTAGTGGTCCTAAATGCGACTTCTGGTCCTGTGCTCGAATCACTCCTGGGTTCGAATCACGGGTCAAGTAATAGGGCGAAAAATTAGTTATTGGGTTTTTCTGACAAGAAATTGTCAATAGTAGTCCAGAGTCAGCAAAATTAACGGTGTCTCACCCCGTGCCACGGAAAGCACGTAAGTCGTTGGATCTCCGCCCGATTTCCCTCCGTCGTGACAGATTGCCGTGCCATTGGACTATGACAGTTAGGGTGATTGGAGAGACAGATTTATTTTTCATATTTAAACCACCTTCAAATTAAAGCAATGTATGGCCCATGCTAACTTTTTAAATCTAACTAAAATACTAAATATAAAAAATATTATTTATGTTAAATAAATTTCATTTCATTTCATAATATAATATAGAATATTTTTTATTCAATATAGATTATTACATAATGGTCATAGAAAGTAATTTTTCTTTATTTACCACTGGTTCGGAAAATACTTTTGTCCTGGGAAGAACCAGCAAGTAATCCAGCAGCGGAATATATTTTTTAAAATACAATAATTTTGTATATTTTTTATATGAATATTAATAGAACCAGCATGGTGGCGATCACCTCATTCCCAGGGGTTATTTTCGTTCATGTATACCTTGATATTATAATAACCCTTTTTGTACAATTCTTTAGTAAAACTTTTAAACTTGTCAAATTGACAAACTTTCTGGGATCTTTTTGTAAAAGCATACCATTAATGAAATACTAATTCTGTGGAGTCTAGTAACTGGCATTACAACCTTATGTTTGATCCTAATGTTTAAAGGATGAACATCTTTTTAGTTATTATAATATATGTTTTATGAACACGCATAACATTTTATAAATATATTTCAATGCAAAAGTTACTATGTTTATTTCTTAAAATTTCTGAGGACTTTCTCTGAGGGACTTTTTAGAATTTAAGTTTTAAATCTCCTCTACAGCCCACTTTTGCAAAACAACAACCCAATAGCAAAATTCCATAAGATATTAACACCATGAAAGTAACTCAAATAAACTAATCTAGCTGTTTCAATATTGCTGAGAGTTATAATCTTTCTTACAGCATATGCTGCAGGGCTAAGTCTACATGCTTTTTACTTAAGTGAGCTTCGCGTCAATAGTAATTGCAAAAAAAAAGCAGTGGTACCCATGAAACTCAACTCCTCCCAATTTAAGAGCACATTGGTATTAGTTATAACATGGATAGTGGAACCCAACTTTCCATGTCCCAAAATACACCTAAACTTTTATTTTCTTGTATTTGATCTTCTAACCTAGTCAATTTAAAAAAATTAACTCACTTTTGCCGTTCTGCCTTATAGCTGGCAGTGAGCTCATCAAATAGCTTCGAGTTCATCTCCATGAAAGTCTTAAGCACATTGTAGACAAGCGCCACAATCGTCTGGTTCCAGTGCTCCTTGCTAATCCGATACAATGCAGGGAACATTATCGGCATAATTACTTGATTGTTCTCCTCCATTAATGATAGGATATATTCGTTGTTCCAAAAGTATAATGCCCTCTCAGCCACCTGTAAATATGTTATATAGTTAAATCAAACAGTTAACATAATACACAAGCGTAGGTTTCCTTTTATTTTTAAGATGATTCATATGCTAGATAAAACTGCCACCATCTGCGTAAAGTAAATCCACTTGTAAATCAGTATGGGTGGTATTTATTTGTGGGACACACATACGCGCTTTTAAACCGCGATACAAATTCATTATTTAATTATCAACCAAGAGTTAGATCTTTACATAGTAATAATATTTTCACTTCTTAAAACATTTCTAAGCAAATAAATAATAATAATAATAATATTCCACAACTATCAAACAACGCCATCCATAGTCCCAAGCTAAGCAGAGCTTGTGTTATGATAAATGTACCATCAAAATGCCTCCCTGTCCAGTTAGATGGTGTCGGAAACCAAATAATATGTTTGGTGCTATAAAAAGATTGAAACTTTTGATGGGTATGTTTTTTTATTATTACAATTATTATGAATAATGGTAGAGGTCAAGTCTAACAGGTCGTGTGTCGTAAGCATGTAGTCATATTTTCCCACTCGCCCGCATTGATCTATGAACCCTAGTCCGAACTAAAGAGTCGCGTACTTAGAACAAATGAGCTCATCGGCTTTCAAGTGGCATTTCCTCTACCTTATTCACAACATAATTGACTACATTGCCAAATTTTCTTAGAATCCTTTCAGATGTTCAAGTATGAATAAAGGAGAAACCTCCAAGTAAACACTCTCTTTTACAGAACTATTAGTAGTAATGTTAATAGCATTACTGGTACTCATATTCCAATTTAATAATGTAATGTATCCCAAGTACATTACATTATTAGTACAGTAACTACACTGGCTCTTGAAACACTGCTTTTTAGTGGCTTTCTAGTCAGAACCAGAACGGAAAGATCTAGTTGAATGAGTCACGAATTACGAAGCAGATAAGAACCCTCTTTTGGAGATACCTAGTATATAATTATATGAGCAAATGGAAGTTTCACCAATGCTTTATTTGCCCTAAATAAAAATATTTTTTATTAATGATACCTACCTGAAAATGTGGACTGGATACACATTTTGCAATTTGTCTAAATAATGGTTCTTGTATTTTGGCAAATTGAGCTGGTTCAATGACATCTAATATCTCCTCAATCTCACCCAAAAACATGACCTGTAAACAAAATATAATTAATTTGGAATGAAATTACTATCAATTTATTCTAAATTCTTATTCACATAACACTTTTTAACAAATTAAAATAAATGTAACAGTGACAACCCCAACTCACGAATAAATCTCAATCCAGCAATGAACATTTATAGGTTTAATTATAGAATAAGGGTGACAAACGAGCACACAGTTCACCTGATGGTAAGTGGATGGCTTGGAAATAGCAGCTTCAAGCAGCTATTTTACGCTGATATTCTGTAAACCTAATGGGAATTAAATATTTTAAGGTAAGTTTCAATAAATAAGTAAAATAAATTTGATTGATATTTATATACAAGGGTGGATTGAAAAGTACTCGGCTTAACCAAGAAAATAAACAAATACTAAATCAGTTATATTTTTATTTTTCTACATAATCACCATCAAGTTCAATACACTTTTGCCACCTCCCCTTCCAAGCATTTAGACCGTTGCAAAAAAATGATTCTTGCTTAGAGTCAAAATATGCGTCTACAGCTGCTTTGACCTCGTCGTTTGTCGAAAATCTTTGACCTCCCAAGTGCTTTTTTAGGTTAGGGAACAGAAAGAAGTCTGATGGTGCCAGATCAGTTGAATACGGCGGATGCGGTAACAGTTCAAAGCCACAGTTGTGAATTTCAGCCATTGACTGTACTGACGTGTGAACACGGGCGTTATCTTGATGAAACAGGACTTTTCTTCTGAGCATTCCTCGACGTTTTTCTTTTATTTCCTCTCGTAAACGACGTAGTAAGGTGAAGTAGTAATCAGAGTTTATATTCTGACCCCTTTCAAGATAATCAATCATAATCACACCTTTCGAGTCCCAGAATACTGAAGCCATCACATTATTTGCCGACAAAATCGACTTAGCCTTTTTAGGGGGTGGTGAACCAGGTCTTCTCCACTGTTTTGATTGTTGTTTTGTTTCCGGTGTACAGTAATGAACCCATGTTTCGTCCATAGTAACAAAACGATTCAAAAAATCATCTGCATCGGCTTCAAATAACTCCAAACAGTCGCGTGAAATAGTCAATCGCGTCCTTTTTTGTTGCAGACACCTTGTGGAAACCCAACTCGTTGACAATGATGTTTTGAGTTTGTTCATAAGAGATGCCTATAATCTCGGCTATCTCTCTAATTTTTAATCTGCGGTCTCCCATTATTAAATCAAGTACTTTTTTAATATTTTCGTCAGTAGTTGACGTCGAAGGCCTTCCAGAGCGGGGTTCATCTTTCACACTCTCTCTACCACGCTTAAATTCTGCTATCCATTTTTTGACGGATGAATATGACAGAGCACAATCGCCTAATGTACTGACCATGTCATCATGGATGGCTTTTGATGATAGCCCCTTCTTATGGAGGTACTTAATGACGGCACGCTGCTCGATTTGCTCCATTCGCGGAAATTATGTCCGATTACTTTGTTAATAAATTTATAAAATCACAACTAATTATCACACACGTTTCGAACTTCACACAATGAACTAGTGTGAACTGAACTAAATAATGTGGGTAGATTTGATTTTTAGAATTGAATGGATCTGTGTTAGGCCGAGTACTTTTCAATCCACCCTCGTATTACCAGCTGGTACACGCCATTTTGCTGCCGCAGAAGAAATAATTGTGGAAAAATTTGTTTTAAATTTGGAAGACAGATATTGTTTGATTAGGAATGATAATACATTCCTTGAAGTTGAATATAGTAGGTATAACTTTCAAATAAATTTGTCGGTACGATACGCGCGCCACCTAGTGTAAGTTAATTGTACTATGTTTATGACCTTCGCGCAAGCAATAAGTTGACACAGTTTTACCGCAATCTGATTAATGGTATGGCAGCGCATAAAATACGAACAAATAAACTTTTCCTTTCCTTATTACGAGAATCGTAATATGTCAGTTAGCAGATCATTACAGTACAATCAAATCAGAAAATAGCTGTGATTAGCCTAGCTGTGATTTGAAATCAGGATGGAGAACTTAGAAGTCTGATTCGACAAATATAACTACTGTACAAACAATCATATGAGCAACATATTCACCTCCTTCTGTGAGCAGGTCTTGGGCCAGAATTTGAGCAGACCGCGCACCACAGGCTCGGTAAGCGTGGCATCCTTCTCGAGGAACTGGACCACGCAGTAAGCGAGCTGCGCGTGGTACAGTGAGAGGCACTTCACCTTGTGCAGTGGCAGTAGCACCTTCACCAGGAACTGCTTGTGCTCGCTCTTTAGCGGCAGAGCGAAACCGTTGATTATGCTGCAATTTAAAGCAAGTTTTAGCTCTTATATCCAATATAATAAATGTTAAAGTTTCAGAATTAGCTAGTGAATCAAGTTTTAAATGTTATCTTTATATATTTTAAGTATAGGTTACCAAAGACAGTCTATTCTTAGCTTAAACTAGCTGTGCCCGCGACTTCGTTCGCAAATAATTATTTTTAGTAATTTATTACTATACTTTCCTATTTGAATCGGATTTTGTGCACACTTTCATGTTTTTTTTTTGCGTTGTACACTAATTATTTTTCTAAAATAAAAGTAGGCTAAGTTACTCCTTACAACTTCGGCTGTCTGCCAGTAAAAGTCGTGTCAAAATCTGTCCAGCCGTTTTTTTTCATTCGTGTTTTTTTTTCGGAGATTTGTTGACGAACAGACAGACAAAAGCTTTTAAAATCGTTTTTCTAATATGTATTGTTATATACTTTCATATGCATTTAGTTAAAAGCTGTTATTTTGATATTAAAAATATACACTTAAATTTTATTTATTTGTATAGATGTCGAGTCAAATGAAAATGAGGTGTAAGAATATAATGCATCTTTAATACAATGGATTTGCGCAAAGTACCGCCTGATTCTATTGTCTTTTAGAACGAATTTCGGTTACGGCTACCAGTCTCAACGGAGACTAGCCATCTGCGCAGGACAGGAATACAGTGCTCGAGTGTATGCGTAAGCACAGGTGCACTATTCCCTCACTCTCTAAGTCCGATGGGATGGTAATGGTAATGGGGTGATAAATGGATCGGAGAGAGAGATCAGTCGCAGGAACTACAGCTTTACGTGCTTTCTGAGGCACAAGGGTGAAACACCGCCAACTTGCTGACTCCAGGCTGTTAACGAAAATTTATTTACAGAAAAACCAAATAACTGATTTTAGCCTGACCCGGGATTCGAACACGGGCCCTCATGATCAGCAACTGCGGTTCCGACCACTAGACCAACGAGGGTTTAGTGTTTGTATAATATAGTTTTAACACACACAGACACTTGTTACGAGCTTGGGGTTCTAGACAATTAAAAACTGGAGATTGAATTACCAAAATTGACACTTTAATTACAGAACAGTAATTACAATTTAAAACCACACTAACAATAAAACACAATTGTGTTTTATTGTTAGTGTGGTTTTAAAAACAACCGATCACTTTAGTTCGCAGTTATATCACTTCGAAGAATTCGCTTCTCGATACTAGAGGGCGCTAGTGGTATTAATTGTGGTGCGCAACTGTGTGTGTGTGGGTGTGTGTGTTTTGTGTTTTAGAAGTTAATCATAAATCTTTGGGTTACCTTTCTCCCCAGCAATCCCAAAATGGTGCAGTTAATACGATTGTAAGGTGTATGATACCAATGAGTTGTCATTGTTTGTCAACTCAAATTTGTCAAAGTTAGCAGCAGACCAAAGGAGAGCTTTCAATATCATAATTGAAAGTATTGAAAATGATAACGGACAGTTGTTTTTAAATGCCACTGATGGTACTGGAAAGACTTTTTCTTAACAATTTCATTTTGGTCAAAGTACGGCAATGTGGAATTGCTGCTACTATATTAAATGACAGAAAAACAGCACATCCAACGTTTAAAATGGCCATTGCCTGTGTGTTAAGAGTTAGTTAGCGTATACTCAATTTTAAAAATATTCTACTTGGAAAGCTTTTGCAAGAAACGGCACTTATCTGGGATGAGTGCACTATGATCCATAGGGCTCATGTTTAAAGCTATGGACCGTACTTTCCGAAATTCAATGACGTTTGTGTTTGCTGGGGATTTTCAACAAATGCTTCCAGTGATCGCAAACCGATGGAACACTTGCGATGTTATCGACAAGCACACGGTAAATCAGCGTTGCAACTAAGAATTGCAGATTCCGCCGGGATAGAACCCAGGCTCCTCGACTATTATGAAATTAACGGCAAGCGCATAGCCCCTGAGCTACCTCGTCTTCCGATCGGTAACGGTAAAAATGGATTACTTACAATGTAAAGTCCTGCGGAATTTTATACTCCATCAAATCTTTTGACGTTTTACATTAATCATTCCGCAATAACTTTGTATAAACGTAGTCATACGATTTAAATAACCTTTTACGTAAATCCAAAGAATTATAAAGTTATCTATATTTCATTACAAGTCAAGTCTGGCAACTTACTCAATACACAATAACTTTCCAATGGATGTTAACTTTGCCATAAGGGGTGTACTGGTACAAAATTACGATTAAAACGGAAAACGTAACGTTTTTCGAGATTAGCCATGTTTTGGATGAAAATACAATAACTAATTGACAGCATTGCTTTCGATATGGCAACATGAGAATTAATTTTGGCATTTAATTTTAACGCGGAATTGTGCCGGTGAAATAACCTCTGTTCAGTGCTCCAGAACTTTAGTTTTTTTTTGTTTGAAATACTGTATGTAGGTATCTATATATCTTTGTAGTAACGTAATATTAATGGTTATCAAAAATGTAATATATCGTTTTTAATATGTTGGTCTTAACATTTATCTATAAAACTAACTTAGCAAAGTTACCATACTAGTGATGCCACGATGTGACGGTTACTTTGCCATGTTTTGTTACAACCAAGGGTTGTCACTTTCAACATATACTTTTAACCGCTTACAACTATTTGAACAAAGTGTTCTGCACTTGACATTCTATGTTTGTTTGTATGTTTGTATTGATGTTTCACCGTAGCAGCCCATTAGACTGATTTTACGAAATGAGTAGTCAATCAATTCATCTTTATTAAAAGTGAAGGTAAAAGAATAGAGAAATCTATATTATTTTCACTGCTTTCTCGGGCATTAATAATATTATTACTACTCAGTATTTTTCATAATTTCAACTTAGTGTATTGATATAAAGCAAAACATTAAAATTGTCACTCTTGATGATTATTAATGTTTTGCTATTGTTGGAAAACAATATAATTAATTACAATAATTATGTATGACCTAAGTGATGATTACTAATAAAAAAACGAATACTTGTTAAACATGACTGAACAAGCTTTTTTAATTCTATACTATAATTGATTTAAGCGTATTGTTGCACCAATTTAATTTTAGACGAGGGTATTTTTGTTTGATATATATTAGATTTTTTTTTCTTAAGAAATTATTGTGACAAGATTTAAATAAAAAAATAAGTTAAGTATGTAATCAAAAATGTTTGACAACCTTGACACATATTTTCAAGTTTGTATGAAAAATTGAAAAATGGGAGGATAAATTTGTCACAAGAGTAAACTTTGCTATTTGTAACACAATTAAAGAAGCAAATCATAACTCTGGGTGTTGTGTATTATATTATATGATGTAATCTTATCTACAACCTTGAAGTCAAATCCTATTATTTTAATTAAAAACTCTGATGGCAAAAATGCCACAAAGTGAGGTTAACTTTGCCATTTTCTATTTTTGAGTTGAGTATTTAGTCTATTTAGTGTTAGTATTTGTTTGAATCATTAATAAATACCAAATCTATGAAGAATATAACGTCACATTTAACATTGACGCTCAGCCTCACCGTACATTTTTTGTTGGAAAATTGGTACTAAACTTTTAATGCCCAAATACTCAAACGCTATTCAATTTTAAGGCGCCGTAAGTCTCGTGCTGTCTCTATCACTTTAATTCAAAGTGACTGTGACGCCAGGAGACTTAACGACATCTCAAAGTTGGGTAGCGTTTGAGTATTTGGCCATTAGTCTTTCCAAAAATGGCAAAGTTGTTAGGTTTCATGGTTCTTTATCACTATTATAAATTAGAATCTATCAAAAAAAGCAAAATATGAAAAATAACCAGAATACATTTTTTGTTTGACGTTGTTTCAATGATTGATGTACCTTACCATAGAGTTAGAATGATTTGAAATCATGTTATTGCGAATAATCGGTAAAAATGTTGAAATAATCGAACCTTTATATTTTTGTAATTTATTATTTGTTTACTTTTTTTTTTCTAGAGTTGCATCATCATTCATCTTCATTACAGCCTTTCATAAGTCCACTGCTGAACATAGGCCTCCCCCAAGAAATGCCACAAAGCACGGTCCTGAGCCACCTGCATCCATCAACTTCCTGCATGTCTTACCAGGTCGTCACTCCATCTCGTGGGGGGTCGCCCTACACTTCGCCTACCGGTACGGGGCTGCCACTCAAGAACCTTTCTTCCCCATCGGTTGTCGGTTCTTCGAGCTATATGGCCGGCCCACTGCCACTTCAGCTTACTAATCCGTTGGGCTATGTCTGTCACTCTGGTTCTACTGCGGATATCCTCATTTCTAAGTTTATCACGCAGAGAAACTCCGAGCATAGGCCTCTCCATAACTCGCTAAACGACCTTCACCTTCCTCATACGGCCAGCAGTGAAGGACCATGTCTCAGATCCGTAAGTCATCATTGGCAACACGCACTAGTTGTATAATTTCGTTTTAAGGTTTTGAGGAATGTCTGACGAGAAGATGTGTCGTAGTTTCCCGAACGCTGCCCAGCCGAGTTGAATCCGTCGATTGACCTCTCGGTCGAAGTTACCTAGTCGGACTATTTGTCCCAGGTAAACATACTCGTCAACAACTTCGAGCTTAGTGCTCCCAACAACTACCGGCATAGGTGTGACATGGACATTGAACATGAACTTTGTTTTGTCCATGTTCATCTTAAGACCTATCCGTTGGGAGACACTATTGAGGTCATTGAGCATGGTGCTTAGATCCCCCAGCGATTCTGCCATAAGGACTATATCTTCGGCAAATCGAAGGTGAATGATGTACTCGCCATTGATGTTAATACCGTATCCTTTCCAGTTCAGAAGCTTGAAAACGTCTTCCAATGCAGCGGTGAAGAGTTTCGGGGATATAACGTCACCATGTCTTACACCTCTCTGCAATTGGATAGGTTTCGTACTCTGGTTCTGTACTCGGATAGCCATCGTAGCCCTACTGTACAAGCACTTCAGCACTTCGATATACCGACAGTCAACTTGGCACCGCTGAAGGGACTGCAGCACCGCCCAAATTTCGACGGAATCAAAGGCTTTCTCATAGTCCACATACGCCAAACATAGTGGCAAATTGTACTCCTCGGACTTCTGTACAACTTGCCGAAGGGTATGTATGTGGTCTATGGTGCTAAAGCCCTTTCGGAAACCGGCTTGTTCGGGAGGCTGGAAGTCGTCAAGGCTACGCGCGAGACGATTCGTAATGACTCTCGAAAACAGCACGTAGACGCAGCTCAGAGGGGAAATCGGCCTGTAGTTCTTCAAGAGAGCGTAGTCACCTTTCACAAACAAGACCACCGCACTTCTGCTCCACGCCTCCGGTGTAATGCCACCATGGAGGACGGAATTAAAGAGCTTCTGAAGGACTTCAAGTACCGGTTTTCCACCCGCTTTCAGAAGCTCCACTGTAATTCCATCCTCGCCTGGGGCCTTGCCGTTTTTAAGGTGCTGGAGAGCCATTCTAATCTCGTTCAGACTGACGTCCGGGATATCTTCGGAATAGTGTCGGATAAGACTCGCTCTTGGATCGTTACTCACACTTGCGTGTGGCTCCAACGATGACGTGTACAGCTGCCCATAGAACCTCTCAATCTCACTCAAAATCTCAAAATCTCAGGTGCCCCGGAAACGATGCTGCCACACTCGGTCCTCAGCTTTGACAGTTGGCTCTTTCTGGCAGACAGATATCAGGCAAAGACTTTGGAGCCTTGGTTCCGCTCGATCGCTTCTTCAATACAAGCTGTATTGAAGTTGCGTAAGTCCCGCCGCATGCATTTGGAGATCTGTCTGTTCAGTTGCCTGTATGCTGTCAAATCTGTTGAAGAATGTAGCTTCATCTCCCGTCTAACAGCCATGAGATTAAGAGTGTGATAGCAGAGTTTTTGTGTTCTTCTGCGGCGGGTCTTGCAGAACTTAGCTCCGATCGCATGGACAGTTTCCACGAGCTTGTCATTCATATCGTCCACTTCATTGCAGTTTTCTAGGCACTGAAAACGGTTTTGTAACTCGAGCTGAAAGGTTTCAGGACTTTGGAACAGAGCACGAGGGGGACGGAGCGTTGACTTCATTAAACGAGACCTCTCCAACTTAACGTTTAGGTTCAGTGTGCCTCTAACCATTCGGTGATCGCTACCAGTTTTCACCCTCGCGATCACGGAGACTAGAGTTGCATAAATTATACGAATCATGAATTAAACAAGTCTAAATTTTTTTATAATTTCTGTGAATCCCACTGCGGCGAAGTTGCGTGTAAGTTTAGAAGGTGCCGACCGGTACAATGGTAGGAGTCATTGAGAACCATTTGAAAATGAATTGGCTCCCGATACAAAAAAATTACAAACGCAAAATAATTATTTAGACATGAATTCTTTGCATTAAATTAGATATATTATATATTCTTTGCATTATAACATTTTTACGAGAAACTATTATTTAGGACAACTTTATATTTTATTGATCATGGCTAAATGCCAACAACACTGTGCCGCAGACATAGACAGATGGATGACACGTGCCCGTGGGAAAAGGTGCGCGCCTCACAATTTGACATGTGGGATCCGCCGAAGACGGATTTGTAGGAACGATTGTACCAAAGTGATGGTGAAAATAAAGAAAATTGTTATGGACAACTATGAAAGAAACATTCGTTTTGAATGTTTCTTTCATAGTTGTCATAGTTTCATTTAATTTTACCACTTGATTTCAATAATCGATATCAAGTGGTAAAATTAAAAATTTTGTACAACCGACTTCAATATAAATAAAATGAGAACATTGTCAATGTAGTCGAAGTCAATTAAATACGCATTATTAAGGATAATTCTAAAACTACTAGTCAGATCTTGATTATTTTATATGGTACCACATGAAAAGCTCCAGCTTTCTAAAAAAACAAAACGAATCATCAAAATCGGTTCACTTAGAAAAAAAGTTCTGAGACACACATAAAACAGAAAATAAAATATAGTCGTATTGAGAAAATCCTCTTAGAATTCCTAGTCCAATAAATGAGACAGTTATGTGGACAGTGGAGTATAAGATTTATGTGACTATTAGAATTAGTTAAATAAAGCATTGCATTTGCAATGCTATATTTTTATCTTTAGCATACTCAATAAGAGTATGCTAAAAATAACATTTGATGCCACTCTCTCTGATTAAGCTGAGGAGTACTTAAGTAAGTACCGAATACTTTAGCGCTGTTACTAAAAGGACAAATGGCGACTACCAGTCGAAAACTTTAATAGAAATACGTCGAATTAGATACATTTCCGATACTTGATATTTTATATCGATGCTTCGAAAAAAAATATATCAAGTATATCGATATTTTGTCCACAAGACGACGACACATTCAACGACTTGCCCGCGCGCCGCCAAGACTCCGCTATTCACGCGCCGCGTGACGTAAAAATTGATGGATCGAAAATAATATATCCAGTATATAGATATTTTGTTTACATGACTACGATACATTCAATGGCTTTACACATAGCTCACGCGCCGCCCTGGCCCGATCTACTAACGCGCCGCCCTGGCCCGCTCTACTGTCGTGTCGTAAAAATTATCACAAGACAACTCAAACGTTAAGATGCCCATTGACGATACGTCCATCAATCCAAATGGAGTGGACGTCTTCCTAGTTTCGTGAATGTGAAAAACGTATGGCATTTGAATGGACATCGTCCAGTTTTGGATTTCCAAACGAATTGAAATCCATGCATACAGTCCAAATGGACGTCTTACGCGGCCGACTGTCAATGTCGAAAACGTGCGCCACGCCATTTGGAAGCCGTCCGAATTATCTGTTATTATTTGTTCCGTACATGTAATTGAACAGCGTGCAACGTTCGAAGTGACGGCGCGTACGTCCAAATGGAAGTATAGTCAATATGCCTTTAATGTGTAGTACTTCCATTAGAAGTATTTCTAAACAGACGTATCGTGAATGGGCACCTTTACACGTGCCGCGTCACAGGAGATAACTCTTAATGCACTCAGTGCATTTAGTGCTATGTAAGCTAAATTGCATTTTATAGCAAGTGCCACTATTATTTTAAATGTTTATGTACAGTAATCCTTCTATACCTTGTAACCCTTAAACCACTAATTTCATTTCATTTTACAGGCATTTATTTAAGACTTGAATTAAAAAAGAAAGTTACAATAATTTACTTATTGGTTTTGTGTTGTTGGCTTTTTTAGTTCCATCAAACACTAATCGAAAAAAGAAATAAAATTAACACGGATACTATTTTTAACTTTAAGCTCTTTCTTATCATCCATAGTAAATTAAGTACATGCTTTTGAAATGTGCAAAACATCTTTTTAATATCTTTACTGTACAAGCGCTTTTAGATTTCCGTATTTTTATCTCCTGGGTACTCTGAGTTACAACTCATTGGAAGCAGCTGAACTACTACCTCAATTGCAAATGAACTACTGTTGGTTGAGGCCCAGGCACGGGCTTGCACTGAGATTTCATTATGGTTAACATTCTTCAGGACACAAGCTCTGCGAGTTAGAGTGCAAATTATTTACATGTATTCTTCTACTAATCTTTGAAACATGCCAATGTCATTTGTGTCGTTATAATTAATTTATCATAATCATATTTAAGTACAATATTCACTAATAAAATAAAGCCAAACATCATATAATAATTGGGACAAGACACATATTTGGGAGCAAGAAATTGTAATCAATGAGTACAAAAGATTGCAAGAAATAATGACACAATGATTACAGCAACTAGATGATAAATAATTTTATAAATATTAATAAATATTAACGTCTAAACTGATGGTGACAGGTAAGCAAACAAGATGTCATTACAGAGAAATTATTGCAATGTCAATTGGCTGCTGTTATGTAATATATATTATAAACATCTATTTGTGAAAAAGACAATAGCTCAGTATTACAGTAGACAAAGAAAAACATAAGAAACAAATAAATTATCATACAATATATGTAAATGCTACAATGTTGATAAATGACACCAGAATTGAATGCATTAAATTTAACTTAAAACAATCATTAAAGTTTTTACTATTAATATCAAAACAATACTGACCTTCCCAAAATTTCTAGAAGTTCTCCAACACCATTGAAATGCTCAGTTTCATAAACAAATCGTAAGAAAATATTATTGATCTGTTTTCGTATGAAGGCTCGCAGTCCCAAGAACTTGCCGTAAATGCGGTGGAGTACAGTTTTCAGGAAGTCACGCTCGCGTGGATCTTCGGAGTCAAATAAGTCTAAAAGCTTTAAAAAAAATTATATTTGTTACACATTTATTTAAAAATTTGAAAATTGAGACATGTATGATAATTTCGGATTTCATTGTGGCGTTTCGGTTTTGAATTCCAAGATTGAACAAAAATATACTATTTAGCAAGCAAATGCTTAATCATTTATGGATTTGAACATGCAAGCATATATTTATTACCCAATCTTGTACTATTATAGATAACATAATAAATAATAATTACGATAAAATTTACAATATAGCATTTTACGGGGGCTAAAAATCGATTTAGGTAGATTTCAATTCCGAGGAAAGTAGTTATCTCCGAGTGTTAAAATGCGCAATATGATTTGTTATTTTGCCACAAAAACCATGTTTTCACAGTCTAATGGCTAGAGCCTAGAGCTGTCACTTGACAAAAACATTGATGATTGATATTTTGTAATATGGTTGTTAATTTGTCTTATGGTAATATTGTTCATCAAGACAGGTGACAACGCCCTATTATAGAACTACGAACCGATTTCCTTTCTGAGTAATATCTTTCTGCTGATTGATGACTTTCAACCTCCGGAACAAGCTGGTTTCCAAAGAGGCTTTAGTACCATAGACCATATACTTACCCTTTGACAAATTGTACATAAGAAGTACAATTTGCCACTTTGTTTTGCGTATGTGGACTGTGAGAGAGCCTCTGATTTCGTCGAAATTCCGGCGGTACTACAGTTTATAAACGCAACTATCCTATTGCAGAGTGGTGTAACACATGATGAAGTTATATTCCGAAATTCTTCATCTATGAATTTGAAGACTTTTTAAGCTAATGGACTGGAAAGTATACAGTATCAAGAACGATAGTAATCGGGAAAGAAGACAACACAGTCATTATAGCAGAATCATGTAATAATCTTAGCAATATATGCTCAATGAACACAATAATGTCCCCCAACTTATAATTCATAAGACCCTAAAAACTCTTTTATATCTTTTTATGTTTAACAATATTTGTGACACAACTACCATCCATTGTAGCTTAAGTTGATACAAAAGCAATATTAAAGAAGTGTAAGTTGCGCGTCTCAGTAAATAGGACCAACAGATTGACGACTTTAAAATGACTTTTACATACATACAACATTGATATTATTATTATATATTAGCCGGCAGGCAGTTTAGACAACTGATAATGCCTGTATCTTGTTTAAGCCCACTAGCTACTCCTGTTGCAGTTCAGAAAGTGATTATCTAATATACTTTTGAATTGATTCACATTTTGGGCTGAGAATATGTTCTCTGGCAGCTTATTCCACTCGGTAACTACATGGTTACAAATGAACTGAACTGAATGAATGAAGTGCTTGTGAGGGTTGTTGTTTGAAAAGCTGGTACATAGCTTAAGATGGTGGCCCCTGAGGTGAGTTTTCATTATGAATAAACAATTTGTCAAACTCCTCAATGTCATAATGTGCACTTAAGATCTTAAAGGTCTGGTCTAGATCTCCTCGGTAAAAAATATAATGCATAAAAATTACAGCTTTAAATTATTAATTATTTAGCCAGTAATCAAGTTACATATTAAAAGAAATGGGAATGAAAGTAAACACATGTAAAATAACGGTATTCAAAAGAGAAGATAGTAAAACAATATGTTAAATAAGAATAGAAGATTTACTTGAGCAAGTGGATGAGTTAGCATATTTAGTATGTGTTTAGCAGACATGACAAGGATATAAAATGACAAGTGAATTCAGCACACAGAGTAAGTTTCGCTCTATTGTGGGAAGTCAGAATGTGTCAAAAAAGGCATGTGTGGCAAATCCCAAAGCCGTATTAGGCCATACCTTAATCTATGGCAGTGAAAGTTGGGTGTGGCAGAAGAAGCACCAGAGTAGAATAAATGCTGAAGAATGCAGTTTAAGTATGTTAGGGCTATTTAGTATATGCATAATATACTAAATACCAACTCAGAATTAAAGAAATTAACTCACAATGATAGGGTAATAAAATGTGTGATAATAAACACCTTTCTCTTTTGTAAAATGTGTATTTTGTGCAATTAGAACAAAATGCTTCAGTGGCTTACTTGTGTAGAAAAAATGAATGAGGAAAGAGCTAAAAAGCAAATTTATGTTGCAGAATTGAATGGTAGAGCCGGGAAGGTATGCCCTAGGCAGAATTTTATTGACCAAATATGGTGATAATATATTGAAGATGGGCCAAATGAAGAATATCCTTATGTATGCTTAAGTATATAGATGTGAAGAGGGCAACAGAGATCGTGCCAAATGGAAGACCATAGTCTTTGCCTACTTCTTTGGTCACGGGTGTGTGTTCAAGTGTGTTTTTTTTCCAAATTGTCCCAACTACACTTGGGTGATGTGTAAGGTATAACAATATTTATTTAACAACAAACAAAAAATAATTAACTATAAATTTTAAAATAGTTCTAATTATCCCACAAAATATCCTCTTGTTTGTTTCCTTTTCAATCACACCAAAACTAACAGCTTAAATTGAAAATTGAAATATTTAATTATGCTAAATTTCAAACATCAACATAAAATACTTTCAGAGAAAAACTTCTGTGAAGATAGACAAGAAAATGGTTCCAGCAAAAACACAAAAGGAGCAAAGCATCATCTTGCTTTCACTCTGCTCACAAAGTAATTATCAATCTTAACATGGAACATGATGCCACAAATGATTACCAAATTTATATATATTATTATATTTTATTACCTGCAAAACAAACTTCTGGTCAATAACCTTCTTGCCAATAGTTGGCTGGAAGTCGGTCGACTCAAGGAAACGTAGGAAGAATTCGTAGACTAGCTGGAGATGAGGCCATGAGGCCTCAAGCGTCGGGTCGTCCTCCTCGGGGTCGAAGTCGGGATTTTCACTTGGCGGTAGAGTGCGGAACAGGTTGGCCGATATCTATAACAAATTGATCACTACTTTAAAACTTTATTACACACTTTGTTGAGAGGGATAATGCACACACAGTTCATAACATATAACATAACATAAACACTCACGCCTGTCACCCAGAGGGGTAGGCAGAGATTATGGACTTCCATTTGGCACGATCCTGACACACCTCTCTCGCTGCCTCCACATCCATATACCTACGCATACACGCTCGTCGGTTAAAGGTACTCTTGATTTGGCCCATTTTTAATATATCGCCAATTTGGTCGATAAACTTTCGCCTAGGGCGACCCTTCCCGACTATGCCGTTCACCTCTACTTTCATTAGTTCAGTTCATCTGATTTCATTAAATACAGGTTACAGCCTTTAAAAAAAACAGCCTACCAAAAGTTCACTGCTGAATACATAGACCTCATAGATTGCTTTATAGTAGAGATTTTTGCTATAGATTTTTATAATTTTGAGTTGTTATCAGAAACATGCTGCTGATTATCTCCTGTCTCAGTTTTTCTCTGCTGATGATATGGGTAGTGAATTCTCATACGCCACCATTATTTGACATATATCCTAATAATTAAGCATACATTTTGGCCAATAGACATCTCTCCTGAGGGCCAAGTTGCAACATAATATGAAACAGCAGCCTTATGATACTCTCCTACGCTTATTCATACAAATATCATATTAATGCTGCAGTGTTTTGTATGATGATTGTAAAGAACCCAAGACACTTCTTACTGGAAGCGAGGCATTCCATCCTTAGTCTTCAGGGATGACAATGCATCTGCATTTTATTTTTTATTACTTACAGGAGAACTTTGTGCTCGATTGTCACCCTTATATATATTACCCGATTTTAATGAAATTTTGCATACTGTGTTCAGTTTGGTCCAACTTGAGATAGGATAGTTTTTATCCCGATAGTGAACCTCAATTTCTTTTTGCAGTTTTTTTTAGGAAGTTAAATGTTCGTCGGAAAGGGCAGAACAATGTCTGCCTGGTCAGCTAGTTCTATTATAAAAACGTAGATCTAATAGACAAGTTTTATATTGAAAGTTAATAAAAAAAAATCACCACTGGTTCAGATCGGAGGTTTTAGGTTCTTCACTGCTCAGTAAGAAACCCAGCAGGATTACTTTTTGAAAAATAGGTTTACAACCTATACAAATAAATAAAATCGAAGTGTATGTTTGTAATGTTAAAATAACAGCTTTTTACTAAATGCATATGATACTAATAACAAAAAACAACTTTAAAAATTTTTGTCTGTCAGTCTGTCTGTCTGTCTGTTTGTTTGTTTGTTTCAGCTAATCTCTGAAACGGCTGGACCGGTTTTGACAGGGCTTTCACTCTCAAATAGCTGATGTTATAAGGAGTAACTTAGGCTAGTTTTATTTTTAAAAAATAGTTAAGGCTCCATGCAAAAAAATTAAACCCAAGAAATTGTAGTAAATTCCATGTGGGCGAAGTCGCGGGGGACAGCTAGTAATTTAAATATAATTAAAATTTGAAAAAAAAAATAGGATCTTTACTGAAATGTTTATTTAAAAATAAAGAATATTTTATTATATCTTAGTTTTGAATCATAGTTGATAGTTGAAAAACATAAATTATTAATTTATATTTTTGGATTGGGTTGTATTGTGGTACTATTATTATTATAACTTATGAATAATTAATATCTGTCATAGTATTTGCCCATACACTAATGATGTTATTATTGATATAATTCAGTTATCTTTAACTATATTATTAATAATTTATGTCAAATGCAAAATGCATTTGTTTAAAGTGCCTTAAAATAATTTTTAACTTTATAACAGAATTATCTCTAATATTACATAATTTGGATCATAGTTTAAAGAACTTACGATATTTGAGAAGATTTGGTATAATTGAATGAACTTAATGTTACTGTCTTTGCGTACTAAACTAATACTAATAATAAAAATGTATCTTAAGCTTACGAAGTAAAATAGGTCAGATTGACTATTAGTTGTTCATACATATATTTTTTATAACTCACTGAACAATGTTTTAAGAAAATTCTCACTCAGTATTAGACTAAAAAGGCCTTGCCTAACACAACAAGTACCACTTAACATAAAAGGGCTTTATACATTATGTATGTGTACAAATAGTAAAAGATTAGTAACTAGCATTGCATAAATATTCCCATTACACCTTAGTCACCTTACGGCATAATTTTCAAGGTAATATTGATGTTTTATAATGGAATAACTTTAAAAAATTTATACTTTTCTGAATTGTTATAATGTATAATTTTAATATATTTTTTTTTTACTTTCATTATTTGTTATATAAAAAGTATTATTACCATTTTAATAACTTCTGGATATACAGGCTCAGTAAGAACTCCACGGCCTCCAGTGATGTATTCCACAAGCTCATTGAGTGTGGCACGCTTAATCTCCTTGCCCTTAAGGTCAGCTACTGGATCCATGAAATCAAATGCTACACAGCATTGGCGCAATTTACGAATAAACAGTTCCTCCTGCTCACTGCTTGGAACATCTGAAATTTAAATTAAAGTGTTTTAAAACAAGTGGCATTCTCATTTTATAGCACGCAATGAAGCTGTTATGAGTTAAATTTAATAATTTTATATGATGGTACACATTAACTGCAAACCTACATCAAATACAATGTATTTAATTTAAACAATGTTTAAAGTGATTAAGGAAAAAAATAGACAAATTTCTACCTTTTTGTAAAAACTAATTTTTTGTTACTATGCTTTTAAAAAAATTATAAAGTCCTAACACTAAGCAGTTTGGTAAAATGCAATCAATATTATTTTTATAAATATTCTTAACAAACACAAAATCTATTAAGAATTAAGTTTTTAACACAATTAAATAAAAATAAAAATTCAACCACATAATTATTATTTATTAGGCAGAGTTAAATTATATGTTTTGCATACTGTAAAGCAATATTTAATCCATATAATTATGTTCAACTAATGAAATTTAAAAAAAAAATTGTAAAAATAATGAATTTAAAATTAAGTTAATTACCAAAACCCCAAATTTAGTAAAGTTAAAGTATATGTTTTAAAATATATTTATAAAAATTTAAATAACTGTATAGCTGTTGATCATTTTTATAACTTACATCTCATGCACTTATACCTCAAAAATTTAATGTTAAACCTAACAAAGTTAATTATCATACTGGATAATCATTGTTTGTATTTGCTATATTGATAAAAACGAGATTAGAGCAGTGATAAATTTAGTACGCACCTTTGAGAAGTGGCAGCGCCTGAAGCTCCACGTCCTGCGTGTTGCGATAGCGTGAGGAGCCTTGCGATTTCTTAGCCTTTTTCTTCAACGAACGCTTGGCGAACGGATCAATTCTATCCACAAACGTTCCCGAAGACATTTTGCTTTTATAAAAGTGTCCCCGGTAACAATATTTCTAGAGCGATCAATGCAAAGCTTGTTTTGATTCGGAAAGTGTCATGATCCAATCCACTTGACGAAACGAACGCGCACTTCTTGTAAAGTCGCAACAAAATATTACAGCCTAAACAAACATTCCTTCGTCATACATGACGGTAATGGAGCGGTCACACTCAGGCCATTCTTAATACACTTCAAGATTCCACAATAGTTACGTAATTTTAAAACGTCTTTATCACTAAAATGACACAATAATAAAACAGAACAATTCCATTCACAAAATCAGTTATATTTTCTGAGGCGTGTCACGAATACCAGAAGGCAGAAGTCACATATACATACAAGCCTCGTGCAATATCAGCCGGTCAGTCGATGACAATATAATTTTTCGACAATAATCTACAAAATAGTTGGTTTTTTGAATGTTATAACACACAAAACGTCGAAACAAAATAATTATTGTCCACTCCAGACGTTATTCAAAACTGAATCGACGATGACACAGAGCAAATTTTTAACACCAAAAATCTATCACCGTATTCTCGCCATCGCTCACCATCCGTTTCGACACACACAGTGAAACTAGATGCATTTTTCCGCTTAACGCGAGTTAATTTGGCTATAATACACTTGTATGAGAACAATAAGATTATTCTGAATCTTTTTACGCTTTGTTGAACGATTAATTTACAAATAATATCTAGTTATGAGACTATCATCACTGGTTTTGCAGCGAAAACGCCAGCACTCAAAAGTACCTATTTCTGAAAATAGATGGAGATATAAAAATGTACCAATAGACAGTTTACGTACTTTTAAAATGAGAAATTAAACAAATAAGCCACAAGATAAAAGTAACAGGCGAAAAATATTTGAAAATTATTTTTAATAATATTTCATATCAAAATATTTTAGACTGTAACGCATAATAAATTATATTATCCTGAAATACTAAAACGGAAGAACTATTTTCAATAAATGAAATATAAAGGAGCGTTCAAGAAGGGCAGAATCACATAGATAATAAAATGTACATAACACTCTTTTTTAGTCTGTGTTTTTAATAGAAAACTGTAATAGTATAATAATTTCATTTCATTAATTTTATTCTATCGGTTTGATGTGTACCTTAATAATCAAGATTGTATCCACGCGTAACTACAAGGTTTTAAATGTTTTTACTAAAGTTAATAAAGTTTTTTACTTAATGCAGAATTTAAAACACCGATGGAGCCAGGTATTTCTAACAGGCTTCCAGGCATGACTAATTTCATCAGTCTGGTTTTCATTGTTTCATCGGTCAGAGTTTCTACTCTTTATCTTATCCAAGATACGAAAAAATAAAAGGTATACAAATCATAAAAATGACTCTTACGATGTCGTTTTCACAATAGGTAAAATGCATGTTCCGTAGTGGAATTGGTTATGGCTCTTTGCGCGACACAAGCATCATATCAATTGGCGGCATTTGTGAACAGTTTAACTGAAACCACCACCGCGCGCGCATACTTATATTTTTCGTGTCATTCAAGCTCTTCTTTAAAGATTTCTTATATCCTGGAAGTGTTGTGGTTGTGACCTATGGACCCTTGTGCGATACACTCAGCTGAACTTTGATATTACTATCATTGCGCCGACTACCCCGATCTCCTTTAGCCAGCCCCTGGATTCGTGGTTGCAGGGAGATTGTAGCGGTAAGTCGCCAAACCCAGTAGAATATCGTACAACGTAAAATAATCACTAACATAGCAACAATGATATTACAAAAAGACGCAGATATGTTGTTGGTACACGCGTTGTGAAGACTTGATAACGTCCTAATTGAGACGTTTTGTGTTTAGTCTGCGTCACACAGAGCATCGAGAAAGACGCTGTAAAAAAATTTTAACATTAATAAAAATGTCATCATGTGTATTTTACAAGTGGTAAAATTAAAAACTTTGTAAAACCGACTTTAATATAAATATAATTTATTGTTGATTTTATTAAAACCGCTCGACCAATTTCGTTAAAATTTAAATGGGACCATCTGGAAAGTATACCATTTGAAACAAAAAAAGAATTTTCCAAATTGGTTCAGGCATCTTCGAGTAATCGGCGAACATACATAAAAAAATAAATAAAACGAAGATTTCGACGAATTGTAAACCTCCTCCTTTTTGAAGTCGGCTGAAAAAGTGCACCAATTATGATTCTCATGTTAACAAAACACAAGGAATCTCACATCACATTTACGAATACAATATACATGGAATTATTAGTATATTTCAATAATTTTCATAATATTTTAATTTGTAGAGGTTGGAAAAAAGAAAGAGACGGCAAATAAATTTGACGTGAGGACGTCAAAGACGGGTGAACACCGGACATGGATGCGGTGATTGGTGGCCTGAGAAACTTTTGTTTACACTTACCTGTAAGTGACAAACACTAGCTGTCCTCGTTTTTCGTAATATTTTAACCACGCAATCCTTTTTACATCATTCGGGAATGTGGTGTTAAGTACGATGAACAAAATGTGTGTGAATGTGTGCAGTCACTGTGCTTGGAACACTTTTCTCGGTGATTTTGTGACCTCATATCTATAGTATATAATATAATTGCATAGCAAGGTATTTTTTTTTAGAATTGCCAACAGAATGTCTAACATTTTTGTTAAATATTAAAAATATACCTATATTTTGTCATCAAATATCGTTAAAAATGTAAGTAAATTTCAAATTTAATTTTTTCATTATAAAGAACCTAAAAAGCACAAGATTCTTTACACTTTTTTATGTTAACAATTTAAAGTGTATCACAAAATCATAGCTGTACAAAAAAAGATTATTTTACATTGGAAGGAGTGTTTCTATATTTGGTTGGATTATATTTCCGATATCAACTTATTGACATTAGCTTAGTTTCTTCTTGTTATTACTCGTAAATTCGTTGTTGTTTCGCTATTATTTCTGTTAAGTACATATTACGTTTGTTCTGCTTGTTACTCGTTATATTTATGTTCACAAAATGAATGAACATGGGCTGAGATATATTTGTAAACATTACAGAAATTAAAGATATAACAAACGGAATTTTAATTACTAATATCTAAAAATAAATTTATTTCAAACAATTACATTTTATAATCAGGTGGCCCGACCCGTCTGTAGTAATCTCTCTAATATAAACCATAGTTATAAAGAATATGAAATATCACAAGAAAACCACATACTACATAGTTGGATTAAAAAATATAAACAAAATGACAGAGAAACACCGCTGGCTATTTAGCTAAAGATCGCTCAGCGAGCTATGGAAGGGTTACGCTCGAAGTTACTGTGAGACAGAATTAAAATGAGGATATCCATAGTAGAAGTATAGTAACTGTTAAAGCCCATCGTATCAGGTAGCTGAAGTGGCAACAAGCTATAATTATTCTAAGAGACCGGCCACAAAGCTTGAAGAACCGACAACCGATGTGGAAAAAAGTTTCTCAAGTGGCAGTCTAGGTGTACCGGTAACCGAAATGTAGTGCTTCAATAATGCGGGATATCAATGAATGCATGTAGTTCAGTGGCATTTTTTGTGGCATTATTTGGAGAATGATGTTCTGGACGTCATTCTGAACGAAATTAGAATGGCTCCAGTACCTAAACTACGGCCTAAAGTACGGCAAGGCGCCCGGCGAGATGAAATTACAACAAGGTTTCCGACTTCAGGTGGAAAACCAGTACTTGAAGTCCTTGAATTATGTTCTCCATGTTGGCACTACTCTGAGGGCGCATCAGAAACGCTACAACGCTCTACTGAAGAATTACAGAACAATTTACCCTACTGAGCCGCGACTACGTGCTGTTTTCGAGAGTCATTACGAATCATCTACCAAGCAGACTCAACGTCCCTCCAGAACAAGCCGATTTCCGAAAAGGCTTTGGCTTAGTAATGTATACTAAGATCAATCTGCTACTATGTGTTGCGTATGTGGAATATGAGAAAGCCTTTGATCCCGTCGAAATTCGGGCGGAGCTACAGTCGCTTTAGCGATGCCATGTTGACTGTCGGTATATCGAAGTGTTTCGCTTGTGCAGTAGGCTTAAGATGGTTGCTATATGCACATTACTCATGACTTTTATTTTGTCCATGTTAATCTTAAAACCTATCCGTAGGAAGACCCTATTGAGGTCATTGGGCATAGTGTTTAGGTCCTCCAGCGATTCTGCCATAAGGACTATATCGTCGGCAAATCGAAGGTGAGTGATGGACTCGCCATGGACGTTAATTCCGTTTTCTTTCCAGTACAATAGCTTGAAAACGTCTTCCGATGCAGCGGTGAAGAATTTCGGGGATATTACGTCACCCTGTCTTACACGTCTCTGAAATTGGATAGGTTTCGTACTCTGGTTCTGTACTCGGATAGTCGTCTTTATTGCAGGATAAGGGTTACAAACGAGTACACAGTACATCTGATGGTAATTGGTTGCTGCGGTCCATAGATATCTACATCTATCCTCGATTACAAATTAAAATGCAGATACATTGTCACCCGTTAGGGCTAAGATAGAATGCCTCTTATACAGTAAAAAGGGTCTCCAGTTCTCTACACTCACCATACGAAGCACAGCAGCGATAAGCTGCTGTAAAATAGACATTCTGTGAGAGCGTGGTCCTCCCTCGATCGAGCCGACCCATTCGTGCTACAACTATACTACTAATATAACTGCAGCATGGCTCTACCACATAAAAATCGTAGCCCTACAGTACAAACACTTCAGCACTTCGATATACCGAAAATCAACGTGGCTCCGCTGAAGGGACTGCAGCACCTCCCAAATTTCGACGGAATCAAAGGCTTTCTCATAGTCCACATACGCAAGACAAAGTAGCTGATTGTATGCTTCGGTTTTCTGTACAATTTAATGAAGATAATGTATGTGGCTTATAGTGCTAAAGCCCTTTCAGAAATCGGCTTGTTCAGGAGGCTGGAAGTCGTCAAGTTTG